CGGCCGCCCCGGGCGCCGCCACGTTCTCCGCGTCCTGCATGGGCCCAGGCGCTGCCTCCTCTCTCGGCCTCCCTCTCGCAGGCTCCCAGGCCGCACCGCGAGCTCGCCGGCGCCTACCCCAGAGCCATGTGCGAGCGGCGGGCCGGCCCGGACCACGCGCCCACGGCGGGGGTGCCGCCCGCACCCGCGCCCTCCCGACGCGCCGCCGGCCGCGACTCCCGAGAGAGCGTGCCCGCCGCCGGCCGAGCCACGCCCGCCACAACAAGCACGCGGCCCCTCGCCGTCCACTGGCCGCTCCCCCCGAGGAGCGGACTCGGCGGGAGTTACGACCACCCCCACCTGCGCTGGCGAAGTGGTTTCGCCCAACATGGCAGCCACCCTTCCCTTCCCGTCAGGCCTTTCGGCGCCGGACGGAACTATTTACAGCCCCGGAGGGGGAATTGAGACATAACTGTAGTCTGCAGGATTGTATGAAAAATACAACTTTGCTCAAAAATCAGCGCTAGGGAAAGCCATGTAAATCCAGTTAATGAGCTGAGTTGTGATACCCTAGGTTTCGATTGGATAGGCCACTTCGCTATTACTGAAGCTCCCCCTTCATACATCAGTCTTTAGACTCGTCTACTGACTGGGCAGAAGACGACTCCAAAATGCAATAAAATAGAGTGTGAGCTGCAGACGGCCCAAACGCCTACGGAGACGCTGCGGGGCCTCACACGTCAAATGAGCCAGAGGCGCGCTAGTCGCGCGTGCCGAGGAGCTCGGCCGTGGTCAGCGGCCGCTTCCTCCACCCCCCCGGGCCGAACTCGGGATGGTTCGGTCCGCAGAGCACCGGTGCCCCCCCCACGCGAGAGCGGCGCACGGCACGTAAGTGGGCGTGGCCCGTGACACGTGAGGGGCGGGGCCAGAGACGTGGTGCGCGGCGGGAGGCTGGAGGGAGACTCGGAGGGTCAGAGCTGCGAGCGGGCTGGACGCTGCAGGTACACCTAGCACTGAGCCCGCGCAGGTGTTTCCCTTTCCACCGGCGCAGCACCGAGCCGGTGACTGTGTAATGTTTTCATCAAAATACAAGAGCTCCGTGGCTGCTGACCCTGCTGTCGGCCCTGTAACCGCGGGCGGGTTAACCGTGGTTCGGTTAGAGCCGAGCTCCGGGCCTGTCTTTGCTCACTTGTGAAGGAAAGCGCTCTGAGTGCCCTGCAGAAGGCCAGCACGCTTCACTAAACCCCGAAAGTAGTGTCCGTAACTTCTTAGATGGCTGCGATTCCTTTTGAAATGTCCCTCTGTCCCCTAAAACCAGAACCCTTGCTGGCCGTTGGAGTCTGATCTTTGGGACCCTGTGGGGGTCCCTGTTTTCCCCACAATCCTGCTTACCTGTCCCGGTGTTTCGGGGGAGCGCGTCCCCATCCCTTCCCACGGAGCCGCTGGCTGGGTTCCCACTGCCCACCGTCCAGTTAGTGGCCGAGCACAGAGCCATTTCTCAGCCAGAGCTGCTTGAGTCGCGCCAGCTCTCGTTTTCTGAGAAGTGCTGGAGGATACCGTGCGGGTGAAGCAGCGGCAGAATGCACGGGAAAGCCGAGAACAGTTGCATTGGGCAGCCAGCTGAGAACAGCTGCATTGGGCAGCCAGGTAAGAACAGGTGCATTGGGCAGCCAGGTGAGAACAGCTGCATTGCGCAGCCAGGTGAGAACAGTTGCATTGGGCAGTCAGGTGAGAACAGGTGCATTGGGCAGTCAGGTGAGAACAGGTGCATTGGGCAGCCAGGTGCGCCGCAGCCGGTCCTCTCCAGCATAAGCTATTGCAGAGGGATTTTAAAGCCTTTTCCATTAAGTTGCTTCTTCCTTCCGGTGACACCCCCCCCCCATGTGTCAGAGTAGAACTGGCGTTTTCCGTGACGGTACCGTGGATCACCAGGCCTTACTTCCAAGGCATCTCGAGGTGGATTTGGACCTCCTCCCTTTCAGCTCAGCTTGTTAACTGTGATGTTTATAAGATTCTTAGGCCCTTCCCATCACAAATAGAGACTGTTCTCCCTTTTCCTATGAGTCAGGAGCCCTGGTGGCACAGTGCATTAAGTGTTTAATACTAACTTAAAGGTTGGCAGCTCAAATCTAGCCAGGCCACGAGAGGAAGATGAGGCAGCCTCTCCCAGACAAGCTTTGGAAGCACAAAGGGAACTCCACAGTACGCAGGATTGACTCGGGGAAGGTTACGTGGTTAACAACGATCTATTAGCTAATACCTCTCCTCGTATGGTTAACTCCTAAGACAGATGGTTAATTCCTGAAAGACAGAGTTGCATCTTGATGCATAAATGTAGAATGTCAGTAATAGAAAAGACACCAACTTACTGAGTGAATATTATGTAGGTAATTTTAATAAATACATAGTGTTAGCTAGAAAAAGATCTGCAAGGCAATTATGGTGATTGTGAATTGTGGGCTCGAGATGGTGTGGTTACTGTAAAATTAAACTTTTTTGTTCAGTTGAAAGCATTTATAATAAAATGATGCAGTGAGAGGAGAAAGAAGTAACTTTCAAAAGCGCTGCACAGAGACAATCTGTGCCTCAGAAAGAATTTTTTACCGTAAATAATTAGCATGTGAAATGTTTAAATCTGTGGGTTCAATAGGCCTGGGGAAATTGTTCATTGTGTCTGAATACTGCTGGAATATCTCATTTCAAAAGAAATAAAAGGTGCAAGCAACATGTGTGCTGCCTTCCTGGTTTGTCTCTGTGCTTCAGAGTTGCCAAAAAGCTGGGGGAGAACATTTTCTTTTTGTGAGTGAATTCTATGTGATTAGAGAAGAATCAGTAAAATTAGTTGTTCTGTGCCGTCAAGTCACTTGTGACTCATAGCGACCCTGTACAACAGCCCTGAAGCCTGCTCTATCCTGTGTCAACTTTACTGTCTCTGACACACCTACGCCCGTTACCCCAGTCATTGAGTCATCCATCTAATTGAGGGTCTTCTCTTGTGCTGTCCCTCTCCAAGGATCAGTCCCTTCTCCCAACATGCCCAAAATATGTCAGATGAAGCCTCAGAATCCTTGCCTCCAAGGAGCACCCTGGCTTCACCCTCTCTAGGATGAACCTGTTTGTTCTCCTAGCAGTCCATGTTATAGTCAACACTCTTCTCCAGCACCACCGCTCTAAGGCATCAGTTCTCTTTCTATCATCTCTAGTCATTGTCCAGCTCTTTGACACATAGCAAGCAGTTACAAAGACCATGGCCTGGATCAGGCACACCTTAGTCTCCAGACTGACATCGTTGCTCTTCAGTACTCTGGAAAGGTCTCTGACAGCCAACTTTCCCAATGCAATTGATCTCTTGATTTCCTGGCTGCTGGTACCAAGAGTGTTGATTGTGGAGCCAAGCAAACTGTTAGCAGTCTCAATCTCGTCACCATCCATCATGATGCTGCCAATCAACCCAGTGGTGAGAAATTTTTGTTTTCTTGATGTTGAGCTTCAGAGAAGCAGCAATTTTACTTATAAAAAGTAAAGCCCTTATAAAGTGCTGCTTATATTGTTGTCAAATGAGACCAAGTAGCCTACTGTGCTGCGACTCTGTGAGGCACAGCTGAGTCTCGCCCTGCCTGTGCCGCCGCACCCTCTGATAGACTGTGTCTACTGCCTCAGCCATTCCTTCTTTCCGACACTGCCTTCCCCAAGGACTGGCCCCTGCGAACGACATGTCCATCCTTGCTTCCGAGGATCACCCTGATTGCACTTTCTCCAAGAGGCTTATTTGGGTTTCTGACAGGCCATGAGGTATTCAGGACCACACAACTCAAAGGCGTTTCTTCTGTCATCCTTAGTCATTGTGCAGCTTTGAGGTGCGTAGCAGGTTATCAGAAAGACCAGGGCGTGGATCAGGTGCACTTCAGGCTTTACGCCGACAACATCCGTGCTCCTCAGCACCTGGAGAGGTCCCTGACAGCAGATTTTCCTGGTGCAGTACATCTTTTGGTTTATTGACTGCTGGCACCAAGGGTGCTGAGTGGTCCTGAATGCCAGCCAAGTCTGTGTGTCTCCTAATGGTTGGATGCAGTAATTGATGGAGCATGTTAACAATGCCTGAATTTGAGGCTGTACGTTTCCTTCTAAGCACCACTGTTCTCTGGACACAACAAAATTAAACTCAAAACCAGTTACTGAAACCTGTAAGAAATACTCAAAACATCTAGAAAGTAAATAACGTACTTCTAAATTCTCTGCTGGTCTGGAGAACAAACCTATAACAAATCATTATTATGATTTCTCTGAAAGTCTTTTAGTCACTCATTATGGAGTTTTGTGACACCAATTACAGTGCCCACATTATACCATCAGAGACCATACCTTTTATGATTGCAGAGTTTGACTTTGTGACTCAAAAAGATGTGTTGCATTGGGAAAATCTGTCAGGGGCCTCTCCAGAGTCCTAAAGAGCATTGATGTCGTTTTAAAGACTAAGGTGCACTTGATCCAAGCCATTGTCTTCTCAATTACTTGTTATGCGTCTGGAAGTTGGACAGTGAAGAAAGATGACGGAAGAAGAATTGATGCCTTTGAGTTGTGGTGTTCAAGAAGAGAATGTCCCCTGGACTGCCAAGAGAACAATCAAGTCTCTTGAAGGTCAAGACATG